ATTGCGTGTTGTTCCTGTTGTTTTCGCGGTCGGAATGTGTTGGTGAAGTGGTTTAGGCCCACTTGCTACCACCGACGAGGTTGCAAGTGCCTGCTTACATGTGTCAGAATGTCGCTTCACTTTAATTGAATTTACTTTCTCTCTGGCTGGAGTTTGTTTGAGTTTTTCCCCATCTCGTATTATTAGTACATTTGTATTTCCCAGAACATCATGGTACTCTATTATAGCCCCTCTAACAATTGTCCTTCTACTGTTTCCCAACTAGCTTGGTCTTCCATCATCCTCGGTTTGTGATAAAACTCAAATTTGTAAACTATTCTCAACTGACATCTCATTTGCTCTATCGTTCTGCTTTTGCTTATTTTCCCCTCGCTTTCCTCCATATAATTCATGTCACACACAAATTTTATTGCAGCAAAAAGGAATGAAAAAGAAATCCGCCAACAAATAACTTTTGCTTGGCAGTGGCCAGTGGCCAAAACCACGAATAGTTTCCAGGACTTGACCATGACAAAAGGACTAGCACTCACACACACACATGCACACACACACACAGTCCTGTGGCAGCCACATGAAATGCACCAAAACCAGTGAACAGTAAATACGAGATATTTTATTTTCAAAAGCAAACACATAATAACAATTTATGTAGTTTCAATGCTAACACAGGTGGACATAAAATAGGACATTAAAAAACTATGTAACTGGCTGATAATGTTTTTACTTCAACTATACTAGTATAGAGTTGTAAAATTAAATAATATACTATACGTTGTTCCTTTTCTTCAGAAGTTCAAATGAGGTTTTAGGGGTTACTCAAAGCTGGAAGCCAAGAAAATGACACATTAAAAAAACCCCTTTTAGAGAGTCCCAGTCATAAGTTTTCAGTACACGATTTATTTTAGCAACTTGTGTCATAGTCACAGCAAGATGCCGCCTAGAGATGGGTATCCGAATAATGTCACTTACCTCAATGCGGCTTCCCAGGGGCGTTCGGAGGAGCCTTCTGTCCGAGGACTCTATGACTTACGACCGCACATTCGTAACGATTAAATTGCAGAACAGGTAAGCACACCCGGACAGGGGCCCGGGGCATCATGATGAAGTGTTCTGGTCCGGACAGTTTATTAGTTTGTCTCTTTAAAAGCCAGTTTGAAATGGGTCCCCGCAAGTCGGCACAAGTTGTCAGGAAAATGTACCATCATATTCCAGTCATGGCAAGATGAAATCAGTATCGGATTTCTTTGAGTCTTATGAATAAGCCAGAATTGAAACTTTTATAAATACATTTTCAGCGAATAAAATTGTGCATTTCATTTTGAACGTTACAACCAAAGTGCAGAGTCAATAAATAGTAAAATGATCAGTAATTCGATTAATTTACTAATTGAATTTACACATTGACTATGCTCTCATTACTCCTGACATGCATTTGTTGAGCTGTACACCTAGAAAAAAGGATTCAAGTATATTTGGTATCAAAAGTGGATTAAATGGGAACATTGGGAAAATGCTAGGAATCTGCATCTGCAAAATTAATATAATTATTTCTATTAGTTATTACTTTAGACAAAAATGATTCATTTTAATACTTGATATATACAAAACAATGTTTTGCAACTTTCAAAACAGAATTTACTTGTAATCAGAAATAAACGGATGATAGTCATTGTTTATCATTCTTCTTATTTCAGATATTACGACAAAAACATTTTATTCTTATTGTATTTTGTTCTTGATGTTATTGTTTGTTGTTGACATCCACTAAATTATCAGGATATCAAATAAGTAAATATGAATGAATAGTTATTTTTGATTTTCGTCAATAAGACTGTTTAAAGATTAATTAGAAAAACAGTATTTGTATTTATTCAAAAATCATAATTAAGATTGAAGATCTATATTTGTTGTGTATTTTGTTGTGGGTGTATCATTTTATTATCTGCTTTCTCATCCACATATTTTTCAGGTCATCAATTGGTTCACCATCCACTATATTTGCAAAATAATCACGTTTCCATGACGTCTGCGGTTTACCATGGTTTTAAGCACAAATGTCAAACAGTAATCATTAAAATTAAAGGGTCATTCAGCCGATAATTGCGCAATAAATGCACAAACACGAATGCAAATGAAATTATAAATAGCTTTCAATGAAGACGTCATATATTTAGATTATTAAAAAGGAAATTTTATGTGTGCGTGCTCTCAACATATTCATAATTTCTCTTGAATTATTTTAATTTTATGAAATAAAAAATTCGACTGAGTAACTCACACTACACGGAGTTCATAATACTGAGTGGAAATGTTTTCATAATTATATTTTACTTATTCTCTTACCTGATATTGGAGCCAGGAATGCATACTCATTTAATACAAGTTAGCAAAACTATTTGGAACACTTGTACTCCAGGCATAGCCCGGCATAGCTTCATAACTTTACTTGGCGCATAAAAGTTTGCCTTCGTTTTGTCTTCTCGTTTAAGGAAGGGTCCTGCACTATGTTCGATCCTGTTATGAACTTTCTTGTCGAACTTTTCGCATGCCAGCATTTTAATTGAAGGAACAAGGAACACACCTCGCACTCACCAGTTGCTGTTGTTGCTTGCACTGGCCATCGGTGTGGGATGCATGTTTGCTCAGTGAGTCCTGTTGACCCAGTTGAGGGTTAATTTCCTCCGCCGCCCTCGACCAACAGGGTACATAAATTACCTAGTGACAAATCGTCTGTCTCCACATTTTGTCCCTATTTGTCATTTGTTTGTTTATTTGATCAAAGCCTGCCAGCAGGACAGACATTTTTGCCCCGCCGCATGCTGTGAAGATGGAGCAATCCATTTTCCTTGGAATTAGTTTACTTAGACTTCAACTTGGGTACACTTTAAGACTTCTTGAACTTGATGAACTATCGTATTTTATAAACTTTTATACTGTATCGATTATAGAGTGTTTAGATATTGCAACATATATGTATGTTGCATGGCCTAAACACTATTTGTTTTAATTATAAATTCCCCGAAAGTTAAAAGTTATATCCGCGAATTTAAACATCAACTGTTTTTATTTCAACATCCATTATTTATTTCGTGTGTCGGTAATCCATATTTTAAAACATGTTCTCTGATACATACATTTACGATCTTTACTCTTGTGTACCATTTTTGGTATATGTAATTCTTTCAACACATAATTTCCATATTTGTTAACTCAAAAATGTTCACATTTATCTGTTTATTTCATTTGCTAATTGTTTTAATTTTTTCTTTAATTTGTGCTTGGTATTTTGTATATGGCTGCCACTTAATCGAAAAAACATTTTACAGACTACAAACACAACCCTTAACTAGTGGGTAGTTGAATCAACAACTTTATCTTTTGTTTTGGGTACCTACTTTCAAGACGATATAATTTTGTAATACATATTAGTTTAGTTTACTATGACCTATCTTATGTTGAGTTTTACCTACATACTTTAGTTTTTGGTTTAAATTTAGCTTAAGACAATTTTATAATTTCGTTAGCCTACCCAAACTTATAATTTTCCATATAGTATATATATAAAAATGCCTTTCCGTGTTCCGATACTTATTCGTTTGTAATACATTGATACAACAGCCAACATTGAATCATAGTTAAGAATTCATAAAATGTTTCTTATTAATTACATTATGTATATATATTATATGGTTTTCCTAGGACTTAACTGAGACCTTTTTCCGCTGTAATGCATTTTGAATTACCTTCAGTTTTCGATAGTTTCATGAGTATTCTATATATCTTAGCAATATTACTTAACTAAACTAATTGTAATTACGTATACGACGGGGGGATAAGGTAAAAAAACCAAAAGTACACAAAAGTACACACTGACTTGTTTTTGAAAGCCTAATTCAAGCCAGACATAAACTTCCAAAAGCGGGGCTCGTGGTCAGCACAATTTTGCGTACTTGTGGTTTTAGCTTACATTTTTCCCTCCCATTTCCAAACTCGGCTTATTTGTAGCATTTGATGCGCTTAGCTGACAATCTTAAAGCTAAAGGTATTTGCGTTAATGGCTAGATATACTTTTTATATTTACGTCTATGCTCGGAAACACTTTACAAGCTTGTCGAGCACCTTACACCTTACTACAATATGCCATCTTTGGCTGTCTTAGACCTAGCACGTTTTATTTGCTATAAAATATTCGGTGATAAAATAGTTTTACTTTTATGCGCACGGCTGCCAGCAGTTAAGTTAATTATTTTATTATGCACACACATGCATATGCGAATCTCGTTCGATGCCTAGGTTTTTCCTCTTTCCCTCCACTTGCCATTTCATTTTTAAATATTTAAGCGAAAATAATATACAGTAAGCTGAATACCACAGGTAAACGAATTGCGTTTGAATCGATTTTATTGGCTTTCCCGAGAGAGAGCCTGAGATGCAGGGGAAGTAGCATTTTTTGATGAAGTTTCCATTGATTTAAGCTGGATGGAATTTTAAAAACTTTTCCGGTTAAATTGAATACCTGCAGGCCAATTATTCAACCATTCTCGATTTTATAAATTTACCGATCCGTTTTTTTGGACCGGTGGAAATCTCATCACTGTCAACTTACTCATTCCCCTCCCGTGGAAATGTTTGCTTTTTTGAAGTCAAGAAGATTATTTTTCTCCTGCTTTTGGAGCGGCAAGTGAGTGAGTCTTGCGTTGACATATTTCCACACAATTGGGCCAAAAACTGGCACACGAAATTTAATTCCGGGCGCCTGGCGAAAGCCAAACCGAAACGACAAATGTCTGACAGTTGTTAGGTACAAATTGAAAGCGACAAAGGCAGACTGCGAGTGAATTCACCCTTCGAGGCATTGTAAATATGCGAAATGGCCCGGCAATTGCCGCAGAAAATTCGGCAAAAAACAGCAGTATAAAGAGGCAGATCTGCCCCCAGGCTCAGTCACACCCCCGCACAAGCCATAACCCCGCCCAAGCACACCCACGTCTACTATATATATATATATACACACATTTGATATCTGTGACTTGTGTTGCTGTTTCAGCCAATTGCTAGACAACCTTCCCTGGCATCAGTTCCCACATCGTTGTCACTTGATTTGGCATTTATCAGCATTTTTCTACTCAACCATTCCTCCGCTCCCTACTCAGTGTGGCTTACGCAAGGACTCCCGAAATCCAGCTGACATTTCCCTGCATTATTTTGGCTTGAATTACAAATCCGTCCACGGAAATGCCTAGAAATGCGTCTCGAAAATCTGTAAAAAACAAGAAGGAATAGAAAAGAGTTAGTTAGTTAGTGAGTTACAGGTTGATGGACTGTCTTAATTGACTCAAATGAATTTTTCTGTAAATTTTCGACCACACTTTTGGAGGAAAATATATGTATCTGTATCATCTAGTGAATATGCGTACCCTTAGGATGTCGTAATACCTTTTCCCACGCAAGCTGCTTATGCCAATTTGTTTGCCATCTTACGTCTACAAATAGCAAATCGCCTTTGAATGAGCTTATCAGAGACAATCATCAAGGCTCAGGGTGTATATTTCGATTTAATGGTAACAGTAACAGAAATAAAATTATACAAAAAGCCACGACAGAAAAAAGCATTAGGTATAAAAAAACAAGTGTTTGGTTCCTTATATTTTATTTTATTATTATTAAATTTCATCTCGCGGAGATGATATTATCATCACCACGTATTTCCGGCAAGGCTGAAAATATTAATGAAGCATAGCATAAGTGGTTATTCCTTTGGCCGATATTTACCGTGCTTAAATATTGCTAGAACCGAATCATCATAATCATCATTCGGCTCCAGCCGTCTGTCTAATTAAAGTAGCATCAGATTGCATGTTGGTCCTGGCGGCAGGATATATTTAAGCCAAGCCCCTGCTTGTGCTGCTTCTGTCATTGCTTGCCTGTCCTTGTTGACATCGACGTTCACATTGTGTGGTCGTCATCGTCATTGGCATGTCCTTGTTTCTACCCAGCCCCCTGTTAGTCCTAATTAGTAGCAACCACTTGTAGCCCGAAGCGTTAACGCTCCTTCCCTTTTTTCCTGGGCAATAAAGTGCATTTACATTACGTATACGCAGTGGCTTTTGTTTCAGTAATTAACAACTTAATTATTGAATTATGAAGGAACAAAACAAATAATCAATAAAAGTTTGTTTAAAAATTTAACTATTATTATATTCGTGGAAGCTAAAGCGGAAATTAGTCCAATTTTATGATATATAAATTTAAATCAAATCCAATTAAAAAGAAATTTGAAACCCAATCACAGCCTTGTTCTAAGAATTCTAATTTAAAACAGCAAATACAGGTATAAAAGCATAATTTGTGATTGTGAGTTCTGAATTTTTAATATTTTGCCTTGTGATTGCCATTGGTGGTTTCACGCTGTCCCACCCCCCTTTGACATTTGAACATTTTAATTAAAATTACAAAATAAACCATGGAATTTTCCACAAAAATAATGTACCAATTTCGGTTATCTGCCTACACATTCAGTGTATCGATTTTGTATTGTGATGAAGCTATCAATTTGCACTTTGGGCTTCCATGAGATTTCGTTATGGATTATAAAGAAATCTTAAATTGGAATTTTAGTATCCCAACAAATTTATAACATTTAAAAAGAGTTTTTCATAGCTCACATTTCTATAAATTCTTGCAAAAAATGTTTTCCATAAATGGGTTTTAACAAGTGCAGTTAGTTTTTACGATTTTAATCAATTGGATTTGCCATCCATTTAAATGTTTGATTTATTTTTTTGCTTAAAAGCGTAAAAGCAGCTGGTTTTTTAATTGTTTAGTTCGATATAAATGTGAACAAAAAGCGGCCTGTCCCATCTGGCTAGCGTGCCTTTAACGACAGGTTGCCGCTGACAAATTAAATCAACTTGAATGCTAAATGGCGCCCGCTTGGGCGTTGATAATTGAAATAAAATTTGCCGCCTAACAAGGAGAAAAAGAATACAAACACCGAACAAGGGGCTGAACCGGACCAAGGTTCCAAGCGGGCGGAGGTGAAAAAAGCGGAGCCAAACAAAGGTAAACTTGGCCCGCAGCCTTAGCCATGGTCTTTGGCCTGGTGACCGCCTTTGTTTGTCGTCAACTGACGGTCCGACCACCTTGAATGTCGCTTTATTAAGTATTCATTATGGTCGCCTGTGATTGTGTGTGTTTTGTGGGCGTTCTGCGGGCTCCACTGTGTGGGTGTGCACAGGACGAAATAGGATCAAAGATCAAATATTTGGCGAGCAGTATGAGTATCTGAGTATCATTTTAACCTAGTTAAGTTACTTTTTACTGAAAATTATAATTACAACATATGATATTGATGATAGGTTTTAACTCTATTTATAACTTTATTCATATTAAATTTGAATTAGTGTTTGCCTTACAATTTTATGACAAATCCTTGATTCTTCTTTTATTTTGTAAAATCGAATTATATATAGTTAATAACTATAAAAGGAGTAACAATTTTGTTAAATATGAAGCAAAGTCACCAATATATTTTTCAAAGTGCTTTTGGGTGCGTGAAGAAATTGCTTTGTTGTGGTCGACCATTGGAGTTCTTGACAGGAAGAAGTTGGCAATTGTAGAATCTCTGGTTCAACGAGGTCCACCTCCATGGGTTTGGACCCTAATTGCCAGCGGCACATTAAGGCTTATGTAATTAATTTTAATGATTGTACTTTTGCGCCAGTTTTCGTTTCCAGATACCCCCGAAATGTGGCCCACAAAAACAAAAGTTTGCTTTTATTGCTTTGCCATTGTTCGTGTTTGTGCTGAGATGGGTTTCCGCCATGGCACATTTCTTCATTTTCATTATTTTTATATGGGTTAGTTTCGAAAAGTTGTATCAGCAGAATCAATACCGCATAGCAATAAAATGTTTAGCAAAACAAAAGAATAAATAAATCAATAAGGGATTGCAGTCTACAAATAAAACAACTTTTCCAGCCCTACCTTGTTAAAATATCAAACAAGAGAAATAGATGTTAAATCAAAGCTTAATCGAAATTAAATAAGATATAATAAATCTTAATTAATTAATAGACCTTGTGTACGCGTGTATGCATTCATAAAAACACACAATACAAACCTGTAACAAGTAAGTTATAAAAACAAATCAGATTATTAATGTTTTAAATACATGAATAGGGCTTCCCATGAACACAGTTCATTTCTATGTTTCGCTCTTTTAAAAACCAATAAGTTTGCAGGTTTTGCAAGACTTTCTATTTGCTCAGAGAGAGAGTTCCCCCAACAGAATGTCCCCTGACACAGTTGTCAATAGCCAGAGCGCTTGTACCTCGGATTGCTCATATCTTGTAATGGCAGCCACATGCGATTGTCCTTTACGACATCTCCTGGCTGGAGTGTATTTTAAGTTGGCCGCAATTACTCGTAGGTGGCGACATAAACAAACCCTGGGCCGCCCGCCCGTACATATGTCAAGTGGCTGAAGAGGAGGCCACGGATGCCACACTCAGACAGCTGCACAGATTCCAAGGACCCCGGCTCGACAACTCGACGAGGATGTTCTTTTTAATGAATTGCGATGGGGACTAAGTTTAGCCCACAGATATGGACGACGGCTGATTAGGATGTCGGGGCATCTAATGAATTTTGCACAGGCAGTACGAGTAATTAGGCAAAACAGGAAGTGCCGAGGAGACGGAAGGACGTAATCGGAGGACGGGACTCGGAACGGGATCGGATGACAGTTCAATGACAGTCGCCGACACGTGTCGGTCTTTATGTAAATGAAGGTGTCACACTGACATCACCGTTTAATGGAACGTTATCAGTGCTGCGCCGAGGCCTCTCGGCACTTCATTATTTTTATTTGATGTTTAAATTATGCCGAAGGAGGAAAAGCGTTTTAAATATTGCAAAAAATTACTCAATATATGCATGACATGGGAACATTTAACGCAATGAAATTTAATGAGCCCGAAATGACGCATTAAATACCAGGACGAGGCCCAGCGCCGGGCTAAGGAAGTGGGCGCTGTCAAAGGCGCTCCGAAAGTAAACTGATGTATTTTTAATTGCTGCATACATTAAAATAGATTTACATTACAAGAGCGAGCCAAAAAGAGAGCATCGTCCCGAGAGTGGGGAGTGGGACGTGGAAGTGCTCTACCCTAAAAAAAGGATTCCCAAGTCAGTGTGTGGACAGCTCGCATGCAAATATTTGCCGCCGTCAGGAAAAGGCCTTCCCTTTGGTCGGGTCGACAGAGTTCAATCTTGGTTAAATCCATGCAAATCTCCTTGGAAAATTCTGCTTACTCAACTCGGAGTGATGGACAGTGACCTTGTGGCAAGTCCATAAGTCCCTGGGCCAAGTGAGGTCTGAGCTCTTGAGCCACGTGCTTATTTTAATATTCCGCCTAGAGCAATGCACTTTTAATATAATTCTATTTCGGGTAAATCGGGCTTATAAGTTATTTCTGAATATTTAAGCCAGAGACGCGTTATTAAGTGGAGACAATGGATCAAGGTATAAATATAGCAATGTCACAGAGAATACGAGTTGAATTCTTAATCAAGGTAAATGCCCTTACAATTTTTTCAAATTTTTCAATGGAATGATAAGTCGAAAAGTAAAAAATGTAAAAAATATTGTTACTAAATCTGATTAGTTTTCTTGACAATTGGGTTAGTTATTTTGCCATTAGTGATATATAGTACGTTTTTTGTTCAACAAGTGAAAAATAGTAAGATAACTGTCACTTCAAATTTCCATTTGACTTTTCTCAGCTTCCCAGTATCGTAATACAAACTTGCGATAAATCGAGTTCTTGTCGCAGAAAACCCTTTTATTTCCTGGTTAACAAAGTTGTCCCACCAAGAACTTCCAACACTGATTCCTTCAACTTGTTTTCGGTCATTTTCACGCCTCGCTGCACGCCATAATGGACAAAAGGAGCGATGAAAATGGAAAATCGTTTCGAGGGGCGCTGTAAAGTATGCTAAGGTTTCTTTTTCAGCCACGGACTGTATCTTGCTCGGCGGTGGCGGTGATATATCTGCAGTCATAAATATCCGACGGCCAGCGAGTCACTTAGACGCTCAAACGATGTGGCATTATTCAAAATATTAACTTAAACTTAGAAAATATTATGAGAGCAATAAGCGGATAGCAGTTATTTGCCGGGGGGACTTTTACACATTTGTTTTGTCTCTTTGGCGCATTTTAGACAAAATTAAATTTCTTAAATATTTCCCCCCTTA